CGACGACGAATATATTCCAAATGTTCTGAATCTCGTAAATATTCACCTATTTTAATATTATGACTACCAATAGCACTAAAAATATAAATGGATTTCAATATACATTAGTAAAAAACAAAATTAATCTTACGTAAATCGTTCTGTTCTATAAAAAATCGCTGTACCTTCTCTGAGTGAATCACTTTTTATTTTCATATCACCTAAATAACCATGCTGTTTTAATACTAATGAAAGTTCTCGTTGATAAAATGATGCATCACATTCTTGTAATGAAATAATATCAGCATGATATCCTAGTATTTCTTTTAAAAGAAGTGCTTTTCTATAATCATGTTCAAGATAATCTTGCGGACAATATGAATAGATTGTTTCAGCAGCATCAGCTGATGATGCATATCCATTTGCTAATATGTTATATGATACTAAACGAAGACTAAAAGAAAGAAAAACAACAAAAATAAATTCTTTTTATGAGATAAAATAGTTAAAATTTACCTATTTGAATCAACAGGTAAATATTCTTTTGTTAATTCATGTCTTAAATTCATTGGTAAATCAATTGGACATGGAATAATTCGTGTTTTTGATATATTTTCAGCTTGCGTACCTTCTCGTAATGCATTGTTTCGGGGTAAACAGACAAGACGTACAAATTTATTAACATGTTCATCATGAAATGTACAAAATGATCCACGATGTACATGTGTCCATTGAGTATGCTCATTTTCTGTTTTTATATCATCTGTAACATACCAATCAAATAATGAATATTCATATTGACCATAATCAATTTCTACAAATGCTGTTGTTATTGTATTTGTTAGAATTTTTTCAGGAAAACGAAATTTAATCACAGCTAAACAAAAATAATATTATTTTTACTTATGATTATAAAAAAAAGAATAACCTGGTGCATTGTATTCAACATTATAAGATTGTCCATTAATTGATAATCTTCGACAATTAATCCATGCTTGTTTATTTGTTTGATTTTCATCAATCAGTTGATTATTATTATCAAATAATTCTACAGCAATAATTTTTTTTTCAGTATTTGATGTTACTTCAGTCGGTTCTTGTCGACGACATTTATTTAATTTATTTTCTTTGATCATAGCACGTTCAATATTAGCTGTTAAACGATGAATTGTTTGAGAAACAGATTCATCCACAGAACGTAATAAATTGAATTGACGAGAAATATTTGTTGAAGGAATTTCATAAACAATTTGAATGAGAATTTTAGTTGAATCATCTTTATCAAATACAAAACATATTCGATTATTTGATGCCATCGACGAATTTGATTTTGTAAAAAGATAAAATTTTGTTAGATTGACAAAATATTCACGGGTACGACTAGAATAATGAATCGGATGAATGTCGCATAAACGAACAAGAAGAAGCATCAGTTGTTTTATTTATATACAAAGGAGAGGAATATATGTATGTAAAATCGTTGATAATGTTAGCATTGGATCCATATTTCTCCTGTCCGAATTCAGTCTCTGGCTTGTTTTGCAAAAGAAATTCCTTCAGGTGTATCTCTGGGTGTGAATGTAACTGTGAGTAAGTGTTTCACTAGATTTGAGCGCCTCACTGAAATTCTGCATGTCACACAGTCCTTCGTAGACTCAACGCAAGTCACTGATCGAATTCAGACAGGAAAAACGCGAATTCAGTATTAGAATTAGTTATGTTATTTCAAATGATTTTCATATCTAATATTTTCTTATAAACGAGTTAAGATCAAGGTAAAGTATTCTATACCTGGCAGATCGACCTTTCTTTTTGACAGAAAACACATATCGAAATCCGTTCAATGCTCTGTATTTATAATCTTTGAATTGCGAAATACTTGAGTCATTTATCCATCTTGACAAATTACTGATTCATTCTTCCTTCATTTAATAAAAGATAAATTTTCAAGATATCAATAAAAAAACAAAAACAACTAAATATATGACAGCGCGAATTAACAAGGTTGCTTGGCTGAAAGATTCAACCAATAGTAATAATTGTCAGATAACAGTTCTTGCTAAGTCATAAAAATGAAGAACGAATAAACGAAAGTAAATTTGCTTTGAATACATTTATTTCTCAACAATATCTCAATCCATACTAATAAAATTCACTATAACAAAAAGAAAAAAGAAAAGAGAAAAATAAATGCGTTCATTTCAATGTTAGAAAATATTTATTGTTTGAACTTTTCTCAATAATCACTTATAAATTAAAAGCTGAAACGAAAATCTAATGAAAACCTTTTTTTGAGTTCAATGATTGTCGCTGCAAAAATAACTCAATGAAAAGTATGAGGAGATCCTTAGGATTTACTAAAATATTTTTTATTTAGGGTCAAGTTGATTCTGAAGAAATTTTTCGACGACTTGAACATACCAGTCGGGAATCATTTAGAGTAAGTTTTTCAACATTTTGTTTTATTATTATTTTATTTCTTTTTGTTATAATATAGAAAGTCTGTCGACGTATTGATGAAAAATTATCAAATATTATCACAATCAAAAACAATAGACTCGGAATAAAAATCTGAAGATGAATTTGAAGATATTCAACTACTTGCTCCACGTAATTGACGTTGTGTAACTAAATAATTTGATTCTCATTTAAAAGTAATTTTAAATTTTTCGAAAACTTCAATTAATTTACTTTTATTATTTCTTTATAACAAGAGAATTAAATAATAGGTTATTATGGAATGACTCAGTAGTAGTTAAATATTAGATCTTATGAAAGCTGGTGCCTTTAATGAAAAATATATAGAAATTATTTCACGTCAAGTTTTCAAAGCTTTTGAGTGTTTAAATTGAGAAAAGAAAATTCATCGTGATATTAAAGTAGCCAATGTTCTTCTTTTTGAAGATAAAGATATTGCATTGGATGATTTTGGTGTTGGTAAACAATTAACTGATTCTATTAATAAACTTTTGGTATCACCTGAAGTTATTATGCAACATAAATCAGATTATTTCATAGGATTTCTTTTTTAAATGTCGTAATAATATTCTACTTTTGAGATATATTTTGTATCCATCAGTTTATCCTTTTTTTAAATCTATATCACTTATTCTATCAATAAACAATTTTAAGAAAATATATTCTATAAATTTTTTATTTCAATAGTTTGTTATATTTGATAAAACTCGATTGTTAATTATTTGTCTTATGAAAGCCAAAAGAAGGACTATTCAAACTTATCGAATACTAAATCTGTTCCATTGATTCAATGGAATCATATTATATATCTAATAAATACATTTATTAGTGAAATTATGAACATAAAATTATTTTACTCATCCATTAAAATTTTGACAATACTTTTTTACAAATCGATGCTATATTTAAACTAACGTAAGAGCATTGTTTCAAATGTTGTATACAGACCTGCGTTTCTTTTATATGTCACACAACATGAAATATCAAAAGATGAAGTAGAAAAGAATTTATTCCAGTTTTAATTGAAAGTCTAATTTCAATTATTCTACTATTTTAATTAAAAAATTGATAATATTCAAATAATTGTTTACAGATAATTTTTAGATAGTTTTGTAATTTACGTAGGGCATTCAACAAGTTCCTGAAATGATTTTATTTAAAAACAACAAAAAGAATTAATGTATTGCTATTCTCAACAATTCTCAGTGTATAGAGAGTGCTCTAAAATGTATTTCCACTTCTTCATATATATATTTCATCCACTAGAGTTTATGATGTCTATAGATAAATAAATGCACAAATTCTACATTAGTAAGCATCATAGGCAGAAATCGAGTCTAGGACTCGACCGATTGACTCGACTGGACTCGACTCTTCATACATCTCAAATAATACTTTTCTCTAGTGATATTAGCAAGGAATTGAAATAATGTTTTGATGAATACGTATAGTTAAAAGTCGAAGAATAGCAGTTTGTACTTATTTGGTGCTTCATGGTAGGTTTTTTCTCGAATCAAACCGCAAACTTCATATCAAGTGCACTCTGTGAGACAATCTATAATTGATACACATAATAGGAGTGAGTGAGCGGCTGACTATTTAATGATCCTCAAATCTTCGTCGACTATTTTTTTGAGAAAATTAAGTAACCTGTGTGGCTCGTAAGAGGAACAGGCTCTCGAAATCTTACAACTATAGTTGTGAAGACAGCTAAGACAAAAAGCAAAATTGTGGATATCTGCATGAAAACAAAATTATGATCAATACTTTCTAATGCATAGTAAAATCAATCCAGAAGCTTTTGAACGCTCTATGTAATGATACAATGTGAGTGTGTGTTTGAGTGAGGACAATACCTGCAACATGAAACCATATCGATATGTAAAAAATATACCGATTGATATGTTCAATTTTGAGCGCTACAGTACGTGAAGTTTTGTTTTGGATATTTTTGAACTTTTCGATCACATCAATGTTTGAAAAATATATTAAAACCTCTTAATTGAGTTTCCAATGCATTTTGCTTTTCGCCAATTTTGTTCTTAATCAATATTATTTTCATGCAGTTTAAATTGAAATAAAGAAAATATTTAATAACGAAATTAAAGTATGAAAAGTCATTAAAAACGTTATTGAACTCAGAAGTGTAACAGTTTGATTTTCAATAAATATATAATAAAATTAATCTTCTAATGGATTGAAATCTGATAAAGATGATTTCAACAACAAAATGCATATTTAACTATAACGAACTAAAAAAAACGATTTTGATCAGTCGTGAGCGTGGGTGTGGGTTTGGGTGTTTCTGTACTGAATATGTTTCTCTCACACTCAAACCCACCCACATCCACACGCTACTGAGACTAGAGTCTAGGGAAAGTATCGCTCCAAAATGATATTATCTAAGAAAAGACATGTACTTTTGTGGAGAATTGTATGGCTCCAGGTGGGATTTTGAGAAAGCATCTCCCTCAAAAAATATGATAAATAAGTTCTGTCGATTTATGCAAATTCGAATTTTTTTTTTGAGACTTCACTCTCTGTTAACAAATCCACAACAGAATATCAAAGGTGTAACGTGTGTGTCGCGTAATTATGCATGTGGATGGTAAACGATATTGTAACCAGTCGATGAATTCATCCTTTGATGTCGACAATGTTTCATTCCATTTATCATCTTCACATCGAACATTTAATGATCGAATATTAGTCATTTTAGTACCGAAATCTAGTATACTCATTCGATTTTCGACATTAATTCGAAGTACTTCACACTGAATACCTACTGGTAAATTGATCAATGACAAACATTCAAGATCATTATAATATCGATCACATCCTCGAAAATCGAGTTGACGCACAGATGCACTATTAAGTTTAACTAGAAGTGCGTCAAGACTTGCCCACGAGAGAAATTTCAACAAATTAAGATGTGATGCTCTGTCGAGTATAGTTTGCAGTTGAGATTTAATATTGTCACTATAATCATGCAATGCTATCTCGAGTGAAATTGAACAATCAAATCGTGGGACAATGAACCAAAATTGATTATCGACGTTGAATGAAAGAGAAAGATGTTGATTATTGACAAAACGAGATTGATACAGAGTCAAATCTCTTGTTGATGAAGATCGATAATTAAGAATATGTACATGATCATATGACCAACTCGTATTGTAGTCATCAGAACAAGTCGATCGACATCCACTAACTTCTATACGAGGTAAGCTAATAAAACTATAAGGAAGGGTGTAGAGACAAACATAATTTGAACCATTTTTCGGATGATAATGACATCAAATAAACCATTGACGTTCCTCGAGCCAAAAATACGTTTGAAATGAATTTAACAATTGATCGACATATTGTTTCGTGTTAATACGATCATGAAAATAGAATTCCATTTTGAGTTGAAATATTTTAAGTTTCGGTAAATAATTGGCAATAATTTGTTTCCATTGATATCCATCGATATATAGATCTAATGTTTCAATTGTTAATTTACGTAAATTGCACATATTTTGAAATAGCTTAATAATTTCATGAACTGAGTTTGACGAAGAAAAGAATTTTAATTTTAATGAAATCATTGATGAACTAGGTGATACCAACAAAGAATTGTAAATATTGATCCTAATATTTGCGCAAAGATATCGAAGTCGAATCGTATGTTGAAATAAACGTGTTAGATCATTCAACTGACAATTGACACCTTGAATGATCAAAGATTCAAGAGATGATGAAATTACTGTTGGCACAATAAAAGATGATGTCCTTCGAAAAGTAATATCCAGATAGCAATGAGTAAGTTCAGATAAACTCCAAATGCTATTAATCATACCGAGAATATCTTTCTCTTCATATTGAAAATAACATTCGCTGAATTTAAGATGAGTCAGATGATGAAGATGATACCATGCAATCATAACATTTTGCATCATTTGTTCAGATTGTAAATGATAAAATGAAAGTGAGCGTAAATGTATGAATTGGTCAAGTTTTAAACCATGAGAAAAAAAACCGTTCGATCTGTTGAGGAGTTTCATCGTCATTGGATAGACAAAGAGAAAATATTCGATGGGTAATCGAAGAAAGATGCTGTTGACAAATAAAGTCAAGTTGACTTTGAGACATCCATCGACAGTCAACACGATTAGAAGTTCGAAAAACAACCCAGATAAGCGTATTAAAACGAGAATTGAGACTGTCGAAAGCACGAATTAGATGAGCAGTGGAAAGATATTCGAATAGATTGAGTAGTAATTCATTGGCCAATGATTCCAAATGCATGGTTCTTTTTTTTATTTTTTTGTTTTACTTGCAGTAATGTGAATGAAACAGGGTGAAAAAGCAAAATAAAATTCATGAGGTATATTACAAAGCAAACGAAAAAGAATGAATCACATTCTAATCATTGGTTTTTTCCTTTCTCTTGTTAAATACGTATTTCTTTTTTTCCTCACGACATCAACAAACAAGAAAGAATAAAAAACAGTTACAAAGATAAAAAAACTAATGACGTCACACGATTAAACTGAGAATTTTTTTGCATTTAATACCATATTCTTTTCCATATCGTCTAATAGCACGTGTTGATACTTTTCGCTCTAGTACAGATTCAACATGTGCTATTACTATCTTAGAATTGATTTATACAAGGTTGTGGGTGGGTGTGAGTGTAAGTGGTACTTTCATCTTTACACATACACGTACCCACACCCTCTAGTGTAGCCCTAGTCTCGATCCTATTCGTTTCGTGGTAAAGCCTAAAAGAATCTTTCAGAATTCTGAATCTTAAGGATCTTGTCTCGAATCCTAGCTAGTAATTCCTGTTTGGAGGATTTCTTAGAGCTATAGAAAAATGTCAATATCTCGAGAACGGAACATTATTTTTTCAAACATTTTGCATCGCAATCCTTAAAACTATTCTCTCTAGAGCAATATCCTAAATTGAACAGAATCTGAAGACCTTGATTCAGCAGCTTCATCAGGAATCCATCGTAGCTGACGTGGGTTGGCTCTTAACGCTCTCTGTTCCTTGAGAGGAATGACCTAAAAGTATAAGCTCTACAATCGTTGACATTTTCAGATAAAACAGCATTCGTTTCCTTGTTGAGCTGAATTCAATAAAAAACATTCCTCGTCCTTTTTAATGTTCAGATCTCTTGAACAGAAAATCAAGAGAGTTCAATTTTGCGAAACACGATTGTTAATGAGTGCTGAATCATATATAGAGAAAAAATGATCCCAACTCCACCTACTTCACCACATAGACATCTATGTCATTACAGACCTCGACTAACAGTTTCAAAGACTACCTCTTTGATACTCTGTCAGAGATCATGATGTATGGGACAACGAATCTGGTTGATGATTAAAGCGGATGGATCATGCATTATATTTCATTCTAGTAGAGACTGCGTTGAAAGAGCTTTTCCTGAATACGTAACTCGTGGCGTTCTCTAAAATGAGAAATATTAGGCTAATTTGTAAAACTGATGCTTAATGGTGTTTGCCACCTCATAAATTTACTGAATCTTTATTGCATAAAAATATTATGAAACGAAGCATCTAAGTTTTAAGCTACACACTGAACTAGAAATGTACGATGTTAATATCATCCAAGTTTTCCGTTCTTTCGATCGGATCTACATTAGTCACCGGTCCATGAAACCAGTGTCTTGCCGAGAGCACATAACCAAGTCCAGAAAAAATGAATACAGCTCCAACACCAACAGACGCGTAGTTCATTGTTAGTACCGTTACTGGATGGACAGTGGGAAGAACGAAGAGTATAGTAATGAGAGAAACCCAGATTAAAGCAATCACATTGAGTGGTTTCGAGAATCGACCGAGGGAGAATGGACCAGGAGCAAAATTATGCGGAAAGATGAGTTTGCATACAATCGGCAACACGTAGGATATGTATAAACAAATCGTGCAAAGGCTCGTAATCGCCACGAACGCTGTTGAATTTCCCAAGTAGGGAAGTGACAGAAGAAAAGCGATGAGACATGACAACCATACCCCATTGAGAGGACATGCCAAACGAGGATGAATTGTATGCCACCATCGTGAGCCAGGCTAGAGAAACACGAGAGAAAAATTGGTATAAATTTCGATTCACTGTGCTTTTCAATACAATATTTACGCATCAGAATGAGTAGCAATTATTTCTTTGGCTTTTCATGTATTTTTTTTAATCTCCTCTCAGAGTAGGGCAAAGTAGTCTAGTACGATTTTGGCCGCACTCGTTCTCAAGCACCATGTACTCTGGTTTGAGATAAAATGTCTTTCATAGTAAAGTGGTATCAGTCAGGTATTTCTTGCTTACAAAGCTGGAAGGAATACTAAATTCCTTCTGCCTATTCGATTTTTATGAGATACATCCATATATACTTGATTATTGCACTGTGACAACTTCGACTTCATGTTTCAAAGTACTCGTCTTCGAAATTATCGTATGTGACTATATTTTTTGTGGTGCTCGTACTTGAAAAAGCTCACACTTGCCCAGATCTATCTCAGTTTAATGAAATCAAATGATTACAATAGCAGTACCTGTATTTGATATTTTTCATTTTCGATCTCTGATGTTGTATCATTTTCTGAGAAGACTCGCACTCACCATAGCATGATCTCGACTGAAGGCATAAATCATTCGTGAATTGGTTGTTACTGATGCAAGACCGCCGAACCAACATGCTACGAGTAGAAGAGACATGAAAAAAATCGTCAATTCTCGACCGAAGTTATCGAGCAAAATTTGTGTTACGGGAAATCCAGTTGGTGTTGCCACTGTTGCTTGGTAATCATGTATGCCCAACAAGAAAGCAATTAAAACTAACCAACCGACAGTCGTGGCAACAAGGATAGCAGCGACCATTCCCCAAGCACCAGCGACATCAGCTTTCTTTGTCTCTTCTGTCATATGTGCAGATGCATCATAACCACACAGACATACCTGAGCTTGTAGAAGACCGATCAAAATCACGTAGCCCTACACAGAGTATGAGAAATTCTACACAAACGAATACACTTCATATTAGATTTACTTTGCTCGACCATCCGGTTTCATTATTGAAAAGAGTAAAGATGGATGAGGCTGATAGATGACCTTCTTTATTGCCGATTAGAAGAGCTAGAGCAACAATAATCGGTGCTAATAATTGCCACCAAGTTGATATTTGTGCTATCCGAATGAAAAATCGTGCTCCAACCGAATTAGCTAGTCCGTGACTGATGACTAATCCAAGATGGATCAGGACAAGATGGAATGGTTTAGGTGACCATTGAGAGTAGACACCGACTGAAACGACACTGGCCAGAAGCATGGCCAAACCAAAATCGAAAGCGGCAGTGACGGCAAATTGTCCTGCGAGATTGAACCATCCGGTAAACCAGCTAGCTATGGGTTTGTACCTTTCTGGAACGAGAATACCTGCCCAAAAATAGAGACCACCTGATGTTGGATAAGCTGAACAAATCTCTGCCATGCTAAGTCCGACACAAAGTGTGAAAATACCGACAACGAGCCATCCCCATATCATTACAATAGGTCCACCAGTAATCATTCCGTAGCCGAAGAGATATGATACACCTGCTGGCACACTGATAACAGAGAGAGCCATGCCATAATTAGTCAAGCGAGTCAATCCCCGTGCAAGTTCTTGTTTGTAACCAAGTGATTGAAGACGAAGAGCATCTGCGTCCATGGGTTTGACCGCCATTATGAGATGTGATTCTCTATTCAGTCGTTGTGTATATGCACTTTTAATGTAAATGCAATCATGTAGAACAGTAACGAAGAATAATTCAGCGTTTCGTTGACATAAGAGAGAACGAAAAAATATACATGTGTCGATCGTTAACACGATAAAATCTTTTTTGCGTTTACAGCGTATTCACTATGCAATTGCATCTGCCACTTTATAATTATAACGAAATTTGCTTTCTTTATATGCTATTCTACATACTTTACATCAAGCATATCGTTTCTGTTAGATGGCTCGCTACTTATGCACAGGTGTGAGTAACGAGTAGGCCATAAATGATTTTACTACATAATTATTCGTATTTTATTAATATTTCATGGGGGTCTTGTCACATAGCCTTGCAATTTTTTCGAAAGAATGTGTCGTGAAAATCTCTAGAAAATGGTATGTATTGATTTTGTGGAACTCATATATATTTTTGAAGAAAATCATGAGTGTAAGTTTTAAGTTCAAGCTATTGCAGCTCCCCTCCATCCTTTCCATTACAGATCATAGCAACTTCGACATAAAAAGAAAAAATTCTGTTCGAAGTATAAAGATAAAAAAGATAGCTTTTGCTGACGATCGATTATCATTAGAAAAGAGCGATCATCTTTTAGAGAATGTAAACATTAGGTATTTTGTGATTAGTATAATGACAATCAAGAAAATATGTGAATTCCACATTTCAGTTCCAAAGAGGCTGTGCTAACAAGCTTTTTTCTTTTTTATACGGTGGAAAGATTTCAATAAGAATAAGAAAACGATTGGCACAGTTTTTATCATTTTAGTTGCTTTTACTCTCGAGTTCCTTCTTCATTGTTTACTTGACCTTCTGGTCACTTCACTGGGTGGAGTGGATGTTAGGGTGTGAGTGTGGGTCTAGATGTGTGTGGATCCATTTCTTTGCTCCTGTGTCACAACCATATTCACGCCCACACCCACACCCAACAAGACCATGGTGTGTCGTGAAATTAGATAAAGAAAAAAAATGCAATTTAATTACGTTAAAAGCATTGGTGGCAACTTTGAAAAATATTTGTAAACTTTTCTTTTATGCATTAAAACTATGAACTGTTCGATTCACATGACAATTTATTTCCACACTTACTAAGCACTGTTCTCATTGAGTATTTGTTTTAATATAATTTCATCGTGTTTCACTCTGATCAAACGACAAATGTACGACAGCATTCTTAAAATGTTATTTGCTTTTTTGACTACGTCATGTCTTTTACATCGACTGTTCCTGGAGACAAAAAGACACTCAACATAGCAGATTTTAAAATTTGCGAAGTCAATGTAGAATCTACTTGAGCTAATTTGTTTGGTTCAAATTAAAAGTTCTTTGAAAAAAAATTTCTGTTCTAATAGAAAGACGATCTGTACTGTTTTGATGTTTTTTTTGATTTAGAATAGTTTTATATTTCGTATCTTAGTTTCCTATAAGATTACAATTTTTATTCTTGACTAATTCAAAAACGGAGTATTGATTTAGAAATGTGAGAGAACTTATTCTGGTAATCGATAGAGAATGCTCCTTTCACCAAATTAAACATCTTTCAACAATTGTTAATCTATCGAATCTTCAAAAATTGGGTTTGGATTTCCAGTGTGAGTGTAAGCTTGCTGCTAGTTTGGATGCAGAAATGAAAACTCTATTCAAACGAGCACGGAATCTTCGTTCAATTCAAATAAGCTGCAATGGTTCTGCAAGAATCAAGCTGATAACTTTCAAAGCAATCTGTTTGAAATTACCTCGTCATATTAAACGTCTTCATACTGATATTACATATGTGGATGATGCAATAATGATTTTGGAGCGTACCAAACATTTATCAAGTGTCACATTTCGAAGACATGACCCACAGGCTTTTGCGAACGGGGTCACTGAATGGTTATCGCAAATGAAAATGGAGTTTGCATATAAGATAGAGTGGAGCTTAGGAATATACTACGGCTCTTATCTTGAGCTCGTTTGTAGCTCTTCTGTACACTTTTGGCTTGGTAAGAGCATAAATAAGCAATCGAATATATCAAATAGTCACAAACGTGTCAAGCACACGCATCACTCTGATTACTCATGATTTATTGATTTTATTCTTCTTCACGAGCTTGATCTCAAATGCTCATTAACATAATAATCAACTTATTGAAACATTGATCTTCAAAATAAACAAATTAAGATATTTGTAATTATATTCATTTTGCATTAATAAAAGTGTAACTTGAAAAAAGGAATCGGTATTGATGTTAGTGTATGCAGGTCGGGTGTGGATGTGGGTGTAGATAGATGTAGCCGTGGATGAAGCTCATTGCTTTACCTATACAGACACTCCATACTCACACCCTAAAAAGTTATATTAATAATAGGAGACAGATAATTTGCTTTTGCCTCGTGAACAAGGGAAATGTATAGAATTTATATAAAAATGATACTATGCATCATTTTCATGTGTGCATGTTGCACGTGGTGGCGGCAATTGAATAAATAGTGTGGACTGTTCTTTTTTCATCCTTTCTGCTACATAGAAATGATCGCCATATTGGTGTTGCTGTGCTGCCCTCACCTAGTCAATTATAACACGGCATAATTAGTATCTCCACCATGGTTATCTAGTGACCCATGTCGAGCGATACAGCTACAGTACACTTTCGACACGGCAGATAGATACGTGTACCATCGTCACGCAAAGTTATGTGCGGGTGTTGTTCTGTTTCTAACACTCCACACCCACACTCACACCCCAAATTGTCTTTTGCAGTTTACTTGATAATAGAGATATGTTTAAATTATTATTCTATATAAAAACAATAAAAAATTGACTATATTTATATTTTGTTCAATAGAATATGTAGTTCAACAATATTTTTCTGTCATGTCTTGAACAGAATATGAGTGTGGATGCAAGTTTTCTATTCTACTACACCGATCACATGCTACACACCCACATCCATGTCCTACTGTACACAAAAAAGAGAAACAATACTCATTTTCCGAATCGTCATATAGTTTCTTAATTATTTGGCTATGTCAATATTTCTTAAGGCAATTAATTTAAAAAAAGAAAAACAAATAAAGTACAACATATGATTTCGTAATTTAGAAAAAAAAAGTTACAAAAAAGGATATGCCGTGACCCGGGATCGAACCAGGGACCTTCAGATCTTCAGTCTGACGCTCTCCCAACTGAGCTATCCCGGCGAGTTAATCACCTTGAATATAAATAAGGAAAGAATATTAGTCGATATCATCTATACTGTAACATATGATGTTTTGGATTGTTTTTCGTAAAATTGAAACTCATGCATTTAATGATTATTTTTTTCCTTAAAATCGCTTTTGAAATAAGAGTTTCAAAGTATATATCACTGAATAATTTTATTATTATAAAATAAATATAAAAAGAGAATAATTGTTTGATATAGAGAAAGAAATGTTTCTTTTAAATTAATATAGGTTGTCCAAGGACTGAGAAATAGGACACCCACCCCAATTCTCCTACTGCTTCATGATCATTAGAATAAAAACAAAACTTGATATCCACGAAACTTTTCCCTCTCATATTAATATCTGTAAAGAAATGTGTAAAGTTGAATGCATGATGGCAATGATTATTGCAAATAATGCCTTACATTGCCGATTCCTAGAGAAAAAATTATGATCACTCTGCTCATAGTTCTTTGATAGCTTAAGAATTTCTATTTCTCAGTTCTTAGACACTTTTGGATCTTGTTTATTGAGGAATAATATAACAAATATTGTCCGTAGCCATTTAATGTAATACAAAAACATTTTGTTTTAAAAGGCTTTCTTTTTTCGTTTTATTGATTACGTCATACATTTCTGAAACGTTTAAGTAACTCTCTGAGCCAATTTGCTTTGCCATCTTAAAAATATCATATCCGGATGTGAAAGTAGGTTTTGGTTTTCACTTGAGCCAGAGTCGTACTTATATTCATATCTTCAAGATAATGAATCGCTAATTCAGCTTCAAAGATCCATCTATTATAAATGAAGTAGACTCGTAGTATCTGGTTGCAAAATATATAAAGTCGATAGTCCCAAATAAAGTATCGGTATACTGAAGAGACTGTCTTGAACATGTAGTCTTCGGGGTCAGGGCTCAAATAAAGTTTTATTTTTAGAGATGATATCCTAAAAAAATGTATCACAATGTTTTCATATAATTGTCCATGTCATTCTTGAACGACGAACATGGAATCGGGTATACTTTCCACACTGTTTTATCCTTTCCAGTTTTTGCATACCATATTGGACCTTTTCAAATGAATCTTTCATCGTTGCCTCCAGCATCTTCATGTCATGCTGAAGTTCTTCTAGCTGTTGAATTTCTTCATATGACCAATACAAGCCGATGGAATGACCAATGATATTTACAGCATGAAGGCGTCCAATGTATAGCAAACAATGCTTTTGCTCTATTTGATAACAGAAAGGTTGGTGTAGAAGCAAATTGAACAGCAGCAGCATCTGTATTCAACAGTGATAATTCAATATGAGCATCGTGATTTGTTCGGTTTGATGACAACAACTGTAATTTTTGATTGATATCTGTCGGGTACTGCTTCTAATTCTCTTTGTGCACAAGCATTTACAACATTCGTTTCCATTATTTGATCATAGTTGCAATTAACTTTGATAACAAAATTTCCAGCTTTTCTTTACTAATGGCGCTCGTACCATTTCCGGCGGCTTCTGTTATATTACTTTGCAAATCAAACTTAAAATAATGTGTGATATATTTTGCTGCTTGATTGCAACACTTATTGAGATCGAAACATGTCTTCGATGTGAATTTTGGATATTTAGCGGCGCTCAAAATTCTGCTTAGACTCATTTTTAACTCTTCATATGAATCAAAGCAATCTTTCCACAATGTTAAGCATTCGTAAGCCGTATGAAAAGTTGCGCCAACATTTAACAATTCCGCTTCCAACTTTGAAATAGGAAGCTTCAATCCCTTCAGTGGAATTGGTTGTACTTTTAGTCATTGAATGCGTTTATATTTGATGTAAAAAAGATAACGAAACCCAAACGCATCTTTATTAATCATCAATTTTTCATTGCAAAAAATATTCTGATTAAAGAGTCCTAATCTAGTTAACTAGATTTGTGGCTCTCCAGTGATGGACTATGCTGGAATCATATAGTCTCAGCAAGGATAGCATGGAGAAAGGTTTCAAGATAAGCACAAAAGGAAGTGAATAGGATCATTTGACTAAATGATCATGTGCACTTCTGAAGTGACCATAAGTTTTCGTCGAGTACTCTTTCATGAGCATAGTTTTGGATTGACAATATTCTAAGACACAAAAGCTACCTTATAGTCAACAATATATGCATGATGATACAGAGATCACTTCAATAATGAAAAAGAATGAAATGTGTCCGTAGCGGCGTAACCAGAGTTTTGGCGATGATAGGGCTCAGCAACGCTTAAATATCCGGTGGTAGGGCTCAGGTTACCGTGGCCTGTGGGGTGGTAGGGCTTGTGAAAGGATTCAGTTGACGATGTGCTAACACCGGTGGTAGGGCTGAAAGGTCGGGTGGTAGGGCTGAGCCCCCCCTGGCCCTACCTTGGTTACGCCACTATGTGTCCGATGTATCTAGACAAAATGAGCTCATTTACTTACGACTGATAAACACTTTTTCATAGTTCATATTCAAAACTAAAATCTTGGCAAACGCGAATGTGGATATGTGTTTCTGAGTGGAGGATCATCTTATCGTAATCAGTACCTAAATAGAATCCCATTCCACAGTCACACCCACACCCTTCAAAAGCATTTTTTTCGACATTGAAACAAAATTAGCAGGCGTTGTCATATTTCAATGAAAAATAAATCAATACTAAGTGCAGCATTTTAAATTCTTATGGTTGCCAAAAGCAATTTATATACTAGAGAGGGTATGGAAATGATTGTGAGTGAAATGAATCACAACAGCATGACTCTCATACATGGACATTCTCACCTTTAGAGATAATTTTATGTTGTTAATTTAAAAAAATTAAAATATTAAAATGATATTCGAATTTGAAAAAAATAAAATTATTTATATTTCGATCTTAATAAAATTTAAATCGTTTTTCAGACAAAAATATTAGTAAATTGGAAATATTAACGAATGAAACTCTAATTTGTGCTTTTTCTGATTTATCATGCAATGAAATGCTAAAATCTTTTGGTCCATTAAATAAATAATTTCCTTTTCGTATCTGTTCAGTTTTTTTTCAATAAAACAAAGCAGATTTGTTATTAATTAGTCCGGTTTACCTTATAAAAGATTTTCAACAAAATTAGTTCGGTTAGTTTCTAATGCGTCATCTTTCATTCCCTCTATTCGATGTATTCATTTAGATAGAATAAATTCAAATTCTTGTGAGTGTTTTAATCATAATATAAGTTTCTTTTATTATTCTAATTTTAAATAACTTAATCTTACTCAATGTTACTTGTCTAAATTCATAATTCAAAATTAGTCTTTATTAATTGAATATCGATAGGAAGAACTTGAGTTAAGCGTATGTGAAGATATTTCCTGTATTTCGATACTTAGAAAAGCGTTGGATGAATATTTCATGTCAAAGTAATTAATTATTTTTCTAACAGATTGTTTTAAACAACGAAATAGAAATGATTTATGCTTGAATATCTATTTATTTTTACAAATTATCATATGCTACCATTCGATATTAAATGATACTCTTTCGTTCTTTTTTATAGAACGCATCTCTGGTTTTCTGAGAAAAATACCTAGTGAGACAGTGAATTGAGGTTTATCGATGCTTTTCAATGGCTAAGTTCAGCCAAAAGCATTTAAGTCAGAAAGAGAATACTGTAGAAACAGTGAAAAGCGCCTTGCGAGTTTTCTAGATGTATAAATTTTAGGCTAAGATGAATGTAAGTGTTACAAGCTTTTGTTCAAATATGTAATAAGGCATATTGTCCTAACCTGTGCAATCAAATAAATAAATTTTTATGAGTTCCAGAGAAGACTGCGATAGCCACATTTACAGTTCATAAATTTACAAGAAAGAATTTTTTATGATTCAAGAATGGAAACTAACTGCTGCATCACTTCAATTATTTGCATTTTCTCAATCATATGAACTACTATTGATGGAAATGATTTATGCGCAATAATTGTTGTTTAACGATTAGAACTATGTAATGCTAAACTAACTATCAGAAATAGAAAATATCTAAATTAAACCAATATAATAAACAAAAAAGATTAACGAAGAGGAAGGGTTTTTATTACCAAGATCAATTGTAGACTTTAAGTTATCAAATGATAGATCTGAATACTATAGGATTTTCATTATTCAATGCTACAACTTCTTTTAGTAAATAATAACAACATTGACTTGGTGTATACGCACTTAGGAGGGTACATGAAGGCACTTTCACCGTTTGGAAAAGCGCTTAAAATTCAACAAAAATCTCTCTCACCTAGTCATTTTGATTTTGCTACGAATTATAACAAGATCGGTTCGCTATATGACAAACTGGAACAATATACTACAGCGCTTTCATTCCTTGTAAAAGCACTTGAAAATCAGCAAAAATCTCTCTTGCTTAATCATCCAGATCTGGCTACGACTTATAACAGCACAGACTCCGTGTCTGATCCTGCTGAAGACTACTTAAAAGCACTTGAAATCTACCAAAAATGTATTCCTCCTAACAAATTCATTTTGTCTTGCGTTTTGAACAATATCGATTTAGTTCTTATCATTATGAGACAATAATCAAAGACATTTTCAACCTTGGGTAAGTCGCTTGTAATCTCACAACAAATTTTCTCTAAAAATCATCCAAGTTTGAGTATAACTTACCAGTATATTGCCATGGCATATGTGGAAATGGGAGATTACCGAGAAGCATTGTCATTTTTCGAACGAGCGGAATATATATTTCAACTTTCATAGCCTTTAAACCATCCAAGTTGTAAGAGGCTCCAAGAGAACATCAGCGAATTACAAAAGAAGTTGTGAACTTCATCAAGATTTGTTGCTGTTTTTATAAAAATAAATTCCCTCGCTCATGTTTCTCCTCTCAAGAGCAATCGTTAAGTAGCCGGAATTAGAAGGTTAAATGAGTAAGACTGGGAGCATACAGATATGGTGTGGGTTTGCAGATGTAAGTCTTGTTAACATGAATGTGTCGATGTGAACGAGATTACACGTCGCTCCTATAAAATCAGCCAAACCCGAACCCACATTCACACTCTTCAACTAAATATTAATACTGCTGTGAATCAACGCATATATTATTTCGTCGGAGCAATTTTAACCGTATCAACAATCAAACTATGCACCACTACAACGACATTGGCAATACAAGTGAGAATTACTCGCGATCAGAAAAAAAGTTGAATGTGTCGACTTCTACGACATTCGGTGTCGTATTTTGTGAAACTTGTCATCAGTACCATTCTGCACCATATTTGTTGTTAGTCATTTGCTACTCAACAGCTAACTACCGAATGCTTGGTACATTTCATTTTTAATCGCATTAAAGCCTGAGGAATCCGGCAAAAAGTGTAGTTTATGTTCTGTTATCTAAAGACATTTCACAGCTGTACTTTTTTCTCATGTTTCTCTTATGCGAAGTAGAAAAGACACAATCGATGAAAGTAATGGTTATCTAAGTTTAATAGTTCGATGTTAACCAAAACTACCATGATGCTTTTACTAGTATGTTTAACAAACTTCTTTATTTTGACGACAGCAGTCGTAGAGAATTCATATGCAAAAGAACGCTTTCCTTCGCTATGGAATGATGCACCTTCGTCAGTTGCTGACTATCCCTTAGCGTCTAACGCATCCATCGATCACAACATTGATTCTAACACTCGAATAATTGATCCATGGCTATATTTGCATAGACTCGGCATGTACAAAATTCTGATTGATACAACAACACATCTAATGCCATTCTGTTCATCAAATGCTACGAATATTCTATTCGGTCTAGCATCTCAATTCGGATGGCAACTCGATTCAAATCGATTGTTTTCAAATGGTACTAGGAATATCTCAACTGACAGTTGGTGGGGATCGGCTAACTATTATTTATCTGTGATACCCTTTATTGCTGCTGCTGATGCTGGTGTCATTCGACAAGGTCCATTTCGAATCGTTCAACAAGAAAATTTTTGCACAAACTTCGATGAATGCTTTCGACAAATACCCGATGCTATAAGTAAATGGCGAATTTTCTTTACAAATCTATTGAATCCTTCGTTTTGCCCACATAATAAATTCGACGATCGGACAATTGATAAGTGCTATTTAGCCCCATTGTGGTCGGCACATATTGCTTCACTCGACAATGGTCTTCCACTTGTTGAATCTAAAGTATCTTTATTACCATCATATATGGAACAGCGTTTTGGCCTTGGCTGGGCTAATCTAGTTCAGTTCATCGCATTGGCCCGTTTGGACACGAATTTATCCGTAACAAACAAGTATCAAGCTGACTATTTACCATTTAGGATGCTGCGCGAAGACGATAAACCACCTCATTGTAGTGATTTACCCGATACTGTTAATCAAGCATTGAAGCTTCTGTTATCTGTTCAAGCAGATTGGTGGTCACCATTGGTCAAAATATGGAAAAATGCAACATGCAACTATGAAGCAAGAACAGCAGCACAACATGTTCTCGAAACCATTGTGCTATCCATTCCGAAGGCGGCGACTTTTTTTGTTCAGGCAAATATTGATGCAGTTATATTTAAATGTGATGAATAATCTCTTTAAATATTATCAATTTTGTGTCACACATTTCACTATGAAATCATATTTTTCTATCGCAAAACTAACGAATGATCAATACAGAAAGACTCAATAATTTAACAAGTGTTTTTATACTCACAGAGGCAATTCATTCACTATTCTTCTTTGTTCTCTCTTCTATAGCATTCGCTTCGCTCAAATATGGAATAAAATAGACTTCGTCTCAAACAATACAGTTGCATTATTCTTTTACAGAACAAAGAAAACGGCGTTCAATTTTACAAAAATATTTTTGCTACGACAATTCCTATAAAACATTCATTCTTTCAGTAGTTCTCTCTTGGTAGCTGAACCAATACCGATGAAACCCTCCATTCATCGTGCATGTGTCAAGTAGATACTACTAAAACAATGACTCCTTCGTAGTTCGCTTCTAAATTGATTTAGTTTTGTAGAAGTATAATGGTAAGCTAAGATTTGTTTTTTTTTTCATCCAAGAAAACTGGCAATAACTCAACTAGATAAAAGTTTCTAAGTTTAAGTTTTCGAGAATAACATTAGCTAGAGACGTATAGTCTTTACTAATAGAAAGATGTACAGTTGGAACTTAGTTTAATATGATATTATGCAAGGTAAAATCATTGTTTAATCAATGACTAAACTACTGCTCGATGTATGAATGTAGACATCGAGATAGTGAAAGCTATAACTACTCAACTTATGGTAGATTGCAGTAATCTATATAGATATATATCATATATATCATATGGTTTTATCAGAGTAATCAAATAAATATAGATCATCTTTGAAAATCGTTTTGTATCGAAAATGAACTAATCTGATATACAGGGCATGCTGAACCAGTCAAATTAGAAGGTATATCTGTTTTGACATCGGAAATTTCGATTTCTTGCGAGTTTATTCATTTGTCGTTTGCAGCATCGGATATAATAAAAGTCATTGTGTCACGAATTCATGCAAATGATATCCACTTTACAATAGTATCAATCATTCACTATAAATATTTGTCCTTTACACATAAATATCGTGCCACCATATGTTCACTTTTCAATTGAAATGAAGAAGCGAATATTTCATGTTATTAAATTTTGTAAAACTAAGACAACATACTAATCTACTCTGGATAACTAAATGAACAAGAAGAAAGAATATTGACTACTATGTCTTCACTTTAAATTGAAAGTGAAAATGTTATCCAAGAGCGAGCGATGACCATCGTCTTAACGATTGCCTTCGATCCCCATTAATATTACTCAGTCTCAACGAAGCAAGCAGACCTCAGGACCATTGCCTTTCAAATTAGTTGAAGTAAGCTGATAGCGAAATTGAATTTCAGTTCCCTCATTATGGGTTAAAAAGATCTATCCTGATACAGCTAATATTTTAGAAAGGCTTTATCAATTATACAATGATTTTCTAATTGAATATGAAACAATTCTCCGTCGTCATCTTTTTTTTATAGGTATTTCATATATACCTACCACTGTGGTAAACATCCTAATGGTTAATGATCGTTTTATTTCTTGGAGAGCGAATTTTTTCGAAAAAAGAATGAAGTACGGCATACCAGTGTACTTGTTTTTTTTAATCACAATAAAAGATCGGTTAATTTCAGTATTCAGAAACGGCAATTTATGTAGACAGTCAAGAGAATAAGAAATAATGAAGAAAAATATAACTTTTTTTAATATCATAGTAGAATCAAAAAGAAAGTGTGACGCTTCAGGCAATAGAATTGCAAAAAGCTATTCAGTAAATTCCGAATACTTTCTAGAACGCATTAGAAAGGAAATAGTTTGTTTTTACGATTACACTGGTTCGATCTAATTTTTTTTGCCATATTTGTTAGTGTAATATCCTAATGTAATATAAAATAATTCCATAAATAAGCATTTGCATTGTGAAGCGGTAGATTTACTTCTGTGCATGAATGTTGCTTGGGATTTTATTGTCATATTTTATGAATTTTTCAATGGGAAAAATTGTTCATTCTTGCAATTATTGTCACAATTGTTTAAGTTTTCAACTCTGCTGGCAAGATGCTTAGTGAGAATTTCTTCTAAACATTTATTGGTCTTTGTGTTGGATTTGTGCACACAATCAATGATATAAGAATGAGATGAAGTTGAAATCATGTGTCTCAACAATAGACAAATGTATTTAAATAGTTGTCAAGTACAAATCCAATGCTTGCTGTTCTTCTTATAGTAATTGTTCAGCATCAGTCGGATCAATGAAGCATTCTACATATGTGTTTTCACTATGTTTATTCGTCGAAATAAAGCATATTATCATAAATGAGGTGTGTAGTGTCTACAGAGAGAAGAAAACGCTGTATTACATGAAGATTCAAATAAGTTTTTGAAAGAATGAACCAAATCTCGCTGTTGGTTTTCGTCTCATTTCAACATTTGAATTTCGGTATGCAAAAGAAATTCTAAAAACGATCTCCATTTGGTCCATCAAATAGAGCACAGAGCTATTGATGAAATTTCTATTTTTTTAATAGTACTTTATGAATGGAATGTTTGCTTATTTGACCTCAATCAAGCTAATGAATCTTGTTCAATTCATCTTCAATAGTTATTCTGGAAGAATTACTTTTGAATTCAGTTGATTTCAGTTGAATGATAATCAAAGTGTTTTATCGATGTTTCTTAAACATATAAATGCAGTTAGGGAAGTGAAATTATGATGTTCATTGTCACGCTGATGGATAACAAGCGAGCACAAGTTGATCCCGCTCTCAAGTTTATCTAGTTCAGCAATCAACCGATTACTAACATATCAGTTTTAAATCATTTCTTTGCATCCTATAAGTGTAGTCAACACAGAAATGAAATGAATTTAAAATCGTTCGTCGACGAACTCTTACTGAAACTGTTTGATTCTTAACAGTCTTCATGTTTTTCTCATTCTATCTGAATCCTTGTTAATGTGGTGCAGGAGAGTAGTGGTTTATCAGAATGTCTTCGATCATTATTTATTGAGACGTTTTTCTCTGCATCTAGATCCAATAATAAAAATAATTAACAGCAACGTATTAAAGAGGGAGCACTTTTCTACTTGAATGAAGTATATTTTGTATTAAATCAAATGTTTTTGTTATAGACAATTTGAATCATTAATGGAAATAGGCTACTATTTAAGCGGTCAGTAAAATAAATTAAATGATCAGTAAAATAGATGAAAATGTCAGTAAGATAAATGGTCAGTGAAAAGTATATAAATGATCAGTAAAAAGATTGAATGGTCAGTACTTAGACTATCACTCATATAAAAAAAAGATTGGAAAAAATCTAATTTTAATCGATTTTTTAAATCAAACCAGTGATTAAAATAAATTAAATTTATAAATATTAATTTTAATGGCGGCGACGGTAAAATGCGTTTTCTCAAACTTTATGTTGAAAACTCAGATGTTCGATCGCTTTTTCGGACTCCTTGCCTCGGAAAATTAGTAGATATGATGCTAGATCGACCTTTGACATAAATTCCATGCTTCAAGACTCGATATCAATTGGTACTTATTCATTTAAAAAGAAAAACTATTAGAATTGATTAAAATCGATTTAAAAATTTTAATCGATTTTAATAGATTAAAAATCGAATAATCTGACTAAAATTGAGTAAAATAGTCAATGAAAAAATTTTAATCGGTTAAAATGGATATTTATAAATTTAATTTATTTTAATCACTAGTTTGATTAAAAACCTGGTTAAAACTGTCCCATTTTAATCGATTTTTAATCACAAAAAAATCGATTAAAATCAGATTTTTTCCAATCTTTTTTTTTGTATGAGTGATAATCTAAGTACTGACCATTTAATCTTTTAACTGATCATTTATACATTTTTTACTGACCATTTATCTTACTGATCATTTCATATATTTTACTGACCATTTCATTTATTTTACTGACCGCTTAATAATATCCCATGGAAATATAATCCATAAGAATAATAGAATCATGCTCTCTTAATTTTTAGTATCGAAGTTTTTCAACGATAAATAGAAAAATTGTTTCATTCTTTATAACTTTCATTAAAATCTCTCGAACGTAGTAGAATATAAGTTCTTTATATGCAAAATATTTTAACATTTGCGTCTGACGCACTGATATCATTTTCTAATCTAAACAAGATCTAGTCATATAAACTAGAGAGAAAAAAACCTGTGCATTTGTCGTTCTTATCTCCCGTTTTTGAAATTGGGTCATTGCACAACTCATCTGCAATATTATCTTCTACACCCACTAGCACCTATAAAAATTACCATAGAGCTAAGAATCTCAACCATTAACATGTTTTTTCTACTTCTTTTATATCTCATTGCCTACCCATGCACTCAATCCTATCTTTTGCAATGCGATTTTGAAACACCTTGTACGAATTTTATAACGGACCGAAATTGGGGCGTTACCGATGGTCTTCATCCTCGTCCCATCGAACATGATCATACTTTCAATAACAATTCAGGTCATTATCTATTCTATAGTCCAATAAATGGATCAAGATTTCAGGTGGCTGAAATCAAAACAACTGACTGGTTATCGCCACCAACTGATAGAGCGATTTGCTTTCAAATGTGGTATTACACACCTCGACTTAGTCTACCTTTTAGCATTCAAATAGTGCAAGGTGATGATGAATTTCTGACACGTGTGATCGCTTCTATTCCTGGCAAAGATCCATCCATCAACGATTGGACACAAATCAATGTTTTGTTGCCTGCTGAAAAAATCAAAATTTATGTACGATTGAATGTTTCAGTTGGACCTTTGGCATTCGATGATTTCATTGTGGATTATTGTGATCAACCTCGTCCTTCGCCACCTAATATTTTGCTTGCCTGTGATTTCGAATCATCTTGTACAGACAAGTTCATATCTTTACCTGAATACACGTATCAATGGTCACTCATTGAAGCCGATGATGCAGTCAAACAACAAAGTCAAGCACCACCGATTGATTACACATTTGGTAATGGATCCGGACACTATGTATGGTTGAAAAATTCGAGTTATATCCAACCGGGCAATGTAGCCTATTTAGCAACACGGTACCCTCTGCATTTCACGAGCAATCAAACGTACTGCCTTAATTTTCAATACTATGGATATGCAAGAAATTGGTACAAAACCAGTTTGAAAATCTATTCAATGATACGTAATGTGACTCCAGTCGTACAAATGTTATGGCCCGCATATAGATCGGGACAATATGAGTAAGTCATAGAGAATTAGAATAAAATCTCAACTATTATCATCCTTGTTTTAATTTAGATACACAACAAACACATGGTAAGTAAATATTCAAACAAGAAAAATAAAAGATAGATTTTTGACTGAAAACCACACGAGTTATCATACACTGAGCTTGATATATCTCTTTTTTCTATAGGACTTGGGGCATCGTTAATCTTCCCGTAGGCTACTATTCACTTTTATTTCGGGTGGACTATTCAGATATCGACGACGGTTCCTATGCTCTTGACAATATTGAAATTACTTCATGTGATTATCCAACATCTTCATTAACGCCTTATGATTCACTTCTTTCATTCTCTTGTGATTTTGACAATCAAACAATGTGCGATATGGAAAATGGTGATCGATTTACTAAATCTACATTTAATTTTACTGTGATGACTGGTGATACAATTCCGAGTCGAAATTTAGGTCCAATACGTGATCATACGAGTAATTCATCATCAGGTGGTTTTCTCTACTGGAATCGTCAGCTACCTTTCGTTCCGGGAGATAATGGCGTGGTAGAGCCATCAAAACCTGTCGAACAAAATACAGGCATGTGTATTCGATTTGCCTACTATGTAAAATCATTAGCAGTGAATAAAAATGCAACATGGTTGATGTTATCAACTGGAGGTTGCTATGGTGCCTCACCTTGGTATCAATCAATGGATGACAGTCAAGGATGGCAAGTAGCAAAAGTACCTGTATTGCAATATGCTTGTGCAGAAACATTCTATTTCTCTGTTTCTCAACAAGAACCAATTGCAGTCTCGGTCGCATTTGATGATATCGAAATAGCCCAATGCAGTTCGTTTGATCCACCAACAACAACGACTGTTACAACTAGTACAACAACACATACAACTCAGTCGACATCGACAACAACTGTTCAAACCACTAAAACTAGTTTTAGTACAAGTAGCAGTTCGACAAGCAAAATGACATCAACATCGACAACAACGTCACCAGAGTTATCTTCGACAACATCTCAAAGAAGCAATGGTCAACGGCTAGAATTGGCTTATCGCTTCATGCTACCTATTTTATTGTTTCAATTAAGATGCGTTTGAATAGATTCTCAAGAATAAATATAGAAGAATTCTATGCCTAGTGTGGATTATCCACCCAGACACACTGAAGTAGATAGAATAATATTAGTATAGTTGAACAAATGTAATCGATTGGAATTTTATTGCCATATTTTTTTCTTCTAATCTTCAACAAAAACTTCCAACAGGTAAGAGCAAAAGTCTAGCACTTCTTTCCATTTAACTCAATTGCAATGCATATAGTTTTTGTCAATGTTCAATATTAATAGTAAATCTGAATTCGAAAGCATCATTGCTGATGAATTTCATTCTATTGCGACGAAATCTACAGTTTTCAATCAGTATAAAAATTCAAATGAATAGTTCGGTTTTGTTGAAGACAATAATTGAAAATGAATTTATCAGTCGATTGATTGCCACATGTTCACAAAGACATAAATCCATTCAATCCGTAATAACAATACTAAGCGACATTCATTGATTTTTTTCTATCAATGTTCCTATTCAAATGATCTTTCCAGTCATTACTATTTATCTGTTTTTGTCCAGTACTCGAAAGGATTCTTTTGTCCAATCTATGAACAAGGTGGTTTCTCAAGGAAATAACGACACATTTCAAACAGTGCCCAATGCCACCATTTATTGTGATTCCTGTGTTTGATTTTAACCTATTCATCTTTTAAACAATGAAATATTTTTCCAATACAATGTAAATGACTAAAAACTATCAGTGATCACCGTTCACTGATCAGATAATGAATAATCATACAACTCAGTTTAGAATCTATGTAACCCATAATTACAATAACAGTTGTCAAATTAATGATTATTTGTTCGCATATATCAGAAGTTATTAGCTACGGATGATTGTCGTTGCATCAAAGATCTTTCATCGAAAAAAGCCTCTACCCCCTAACTGTAATCCATCTTATTTTCATTAGTGTCATATCGGCTGTATACGTTTTAAATAACGAGTTTCAACGGATTAATCCGCAAACTTGAGTCATTCTTTGTTTCTTAGTATCAACTGATGCACAGCACTAATGGAACTCTTTACTTAGAATTTTTATTTCAGATTGATAAACTCATCATTCAATATGATGGCATAGACGCGATTTAAGACGATGTTTACAATATAGCTCATCGACGAGTTTTCAATTAATAAATAATCTTTCATTTTCTATCCTAACTTTGCATACGACAAATGTCATTATTAGCAACAACATATTACCTTAACATTCTAACATCCTATTTTAGTGTTTTGATATTGTGTACACATTTCTTATGAAAAAAAGTATCCATGGTATTCGACGAAGATAATATCTACTTGGAAATTATGAGTTCACTTTTTATTTTCTTTCTATCAAATTTTCCAAGACTGAATTATTAACATGTTGTCTAGTTGATTGAAATCAAATAGTTTCTCTTCTGGAATAGAATGTCATATGTACTCATCGATGAATATTTCCTACGACAGCATATGTCATCATTATAGCATTTGAATAAATCATTCTAATTAACATTGCTGAGAAGATGCCTCTCGTTGATACTAAGCTTGAAAAATTCAATGTTTGAACAAAACACTTTAGCTAAAATCTTAACATAAAATTGTTGTTACTTCACGATAGTCTTGATGGTATATGTGACCTCATTCAAAATGACAGGCGTTGCGTAACGATAATGGAACAGTTTTCAGACGAAGTTAAACAAGTTAGAAAAACATTCAGATCAAACACAAATAATTTTTGTTTATTTGATCACAATTCGGATATTGCTTTACGAAAATAACTTAAAAAATCTGATCATTGGTAATATGATGAGCACTTTTCTAGACTACGGGAAAAATTACTTGTACCGAATTTTTATAACAAATATTTTTGTCGGGGCAAACTTGGCCTGAAGTGTTTGATTATGCATTTCAATAGTTAAAATTCTGCAACAAGAAAATATTTTGTATGTTGTCGGAGTCCAATGAGCACACTACTAATAGACTCTTAGTGATTCGTTATAAAGTGTGGTTCAGCAATAAAATGATTCATATTATTATTTATTACTATTGTTTGTTTGTTCATTACTGAAAATCTACGACAAACATACTGTGACTGCCAGAAGCAGCGAACTTGTTGCTCGAATAGAAACGATCAGCGAGGAACACCGAAGTTTTACTTCAAGAAATTTTAGAGCCAGGCACGAATTCCTCTCATTAATCATCATATACGTAGTCTTATTTCTATGAATATTCGATAAATTTCATAGTGCTTAGCGATATGCTTTTTCATTAAAAATTACTTGTCAGTAGCACCAGTATTGGTGTAGACGTGGCTGTCAGTGTAGTATGAAGTGAATATAGGCACAGATCTTTTCTTCACTCACACCAATATTATTTTTGTTTTTCATGTTTTACTGTTAAAATTACTACTAAGTTGTAGTGTTTTGTCTTTTTTTTTCATGGAAAAACAAAGAAAATTGTAACAATCGAGGAAATTTACATGCCATAAAAAAGTCGAACAATTGACAACATTTATGAAGAAACATTGATTAGTTAAGAGTGAATCAAATAAGCATCAATTGGTAGTTCTATTGAGCACTCCATCATTTACGTCGGCAGTTATTGCATACAAGTAATAATTACTTCAAAAGACCATATTCACTTCTAATAGAAACAAAGCAAAGTACTAAGCACTACGGCGTGAGCTCAGAAGTCACCGAAATGTTGTATTCAGCAGAAATTCATGTAATAGATTAAGGAGAACATCCATCATGAGTGACATGTGGATTCTTTTCAATATAAAAGTATAGAAAATTATGGTTAGTTGTAAGCAAAATATTATTGATATTGAATGTATATATAATTTGATAAAGAAGTGCTTCTACAAAAAATCATCTTAGTACATCGAAACCTGCTTTTGTTTCTTTTTGTGTTCAGATTTTCTAATGTTTTTATCTATCCGTGATATGAATTCGGTTGGTGACTATCTTGATAAACTCACATAGCAAGTAAATGCTAATATATCATTCTGATAAAAGGCCAAACAAATATCTTTCTTTTCAGTCTATTTTAGTCTTTGATCGTTTCGCATAAAACGCAAAAGACATTTCATTCGAATTAATGGAAGATTCTTTGTTCGAGTAGCAAGGCAACGATGCATTAGTGTGAGTTCATTTTTTTGTTTTTTTCCGGAATAATTATTTTTCTAATTTTGACCAAAAAACGATACATCGAGAATATCCATTCAAAGAAAAGAAACATGTTAGATTATTATACATGTAAGAAAACATTTTCAATCATATTCAATTATCAACTTGATGAAATCCATCGGCTATCGATAGCTGATTCAACTTGTAATAAATTGATATGTTGTGATAAACAATAGTTTTTCGTTGGAAGTGATAAAATACGAAGTGATTTGACATTATTAAAATATAGTAAGGAAGTTAGATTATGTTGGAGTTCAGTAGTATTTACTATGAGGCGAGTTACAGAATCAAATGTCGATGAATTAAATGAAGGAAGTGTGGTATCCCAATTTGAAGAGGTTATATTGAGAGTGATAGTAACATTTTTTGGGCAAGGTATTGTATAGAGTTGAATAAATTCATTAGTGAATTTATCACAGATAACATACCATTTCTTTTCTTTTATCCAGAATGGACTACGAAATCTATTAACAATAAAAGTTGAACTTATCTCTAAAGAAATTTTTTCGGATTTCAAATATAAACGAAATGAACTTAAACAAGGAAGTGCTGTCTGAATTAATTCTTCCCATTTTTCACCATTATAAAATTCAACGTCATGTGTGATATCATGTGTAACAAGTGACAAGCTTTTCAATTGTGGAAAATGAATTAACAATGATGCAATTTCTATAAATAATAAATACGATTCAATTTGTATTACGAGTGATCGCAGATGTTGTCCACCATTTCGAATTAATTCAGAATCCAATATCCAAGGATCCCAACAACCAATATCGTCATCGATATCGAGTTTTATTTCGAGATGTTCAATTTTATATAGATGTTGAAACAAGTCTGGTAATCGAGTGATAGCATACGAAAAATCGTGCAACGATAAATATTGAATAGTCGAAAAAGTAGAATAAAGTTGTGTCAAAACCCAAGATATATATGATGGTTGTTGTCTGAATGATAAAGAAATATGTGTGAGTGAAGGCAATTGGTCATTAACATATTTAATGGATCGACATCGATAGGGATAATATGTGGCATCCATAAGACTCAATGAGACAAGATGAATTAATTCCGGAAGTACCACTGTTAAGAACGAAATCAATGCTTCTGTGTGTATACCGATCAGTTTAAGATAACGAATTGGATTGTGTGGAATCACATTTTGAAATCGTACAATAAACATTTCAATTGGACCGAGAGTATTATGATTTGACAATGTTAAAGAGGAGACATTGCTGCTGAATGGAAATATACTATCGAATACGTAATCAAACTCGTTTTTTTTACGATTTGTTAAAGTTAAATGGAGACAAACATTGTTAATCAGTAAAGTGAGACGAGAATTAAGTTTGTTAAATGCAAATATCAGATGAAAACCATCGAGAAACTCAAAAATAGATAGTAGAATTTCGTTGGGTAAATCTTCGAATTTTGTAAGCGACATTTTTTAATATTCTAGAAAAATAGAAATATCAATGAATGCCAATGCTACTCAAGAATATGAAAGCAGAGAAAAACAAAACAATACTTACTTAAAAATGCACTCATGTAACAACTTATATCGTAAAACGCTACGAACTTTTTCAACCGGTGATTTTGTAATTTGCTTTTATACCATGCACAGAACGCAAGAAAGAAAAATGGATACGTCTCAATATGTGCGATTACCTGACGTTCTTTTTTTATTCTACTATGACGGATTTTTTTATCATCACATACAAAGAGAAAAACAACTAGCGTCAATAAACTCAAATATTCTTTCTACTAGGATTTTTGAGCTTTCGAAAATTCTTTCACATCGAACATCTATTTTTCCCTCATCGTACACAATTGGATGGATTAAAATTTCGAGTATCAGAGAGCGGAGAAAGAAGCTTATCGCAAAGAAAATACAAAGCATGGTGTTAGCCTATTGTATGTAACAGATTATTCGTCTGATTGTGAAGAATTTGGATCAGAGATTAAAAATTTTCTAAGGAAGAGAATTTTTCAATCTCTCATCGAACATAGGAAAGAGCAAGCATGATGTTATTAACACGAAAATAAAATGATTTCTGATGCTAGAAATCATGTTGATATCATAAAAATCAATACTCTTCAGAGCTTTTCCATATGACTTTTGTGGCTTAAGGTGTACTTCTAAAATATATTTTATATTCCAGTTCGAGTACCAAGACAATATCTAAAGACGAACTAAAAATAAAAATGTATAGCTTTGTAAAAAAAAAAACGACTCTGATTTGAAAATATTGAGTTGCACCCACAAAAAATGTCATGATTACCATATGTAACAGATGGTTCATCAAAAGTAAGAAACTTTTATTTTGCTTTTTCTTTGTAACTTACAAACACGCTCCAAAGTTTTTATTTCACAGCTCAATATACAGAGCATAATTTCTCTTTACAAAACCTCTGAACTTCTTTTTGAAGTAAGTTTTCTCCAGCCGGCAAACGATTGAACATACTAACAAACACTTAGTTGATCACCTACTATTATATTTAATATTTTCGGTGAACATCGATTGATTTGTGTGAACTTGCTGTTGTGCAATCAAATCCTACTCTTAACTGGAAGAATTTTGCATCAATAATGGAGTATGTTATTCTTTAAACTGCTAACAGCTTAACAATTCTCATCGCATTGTGGCTTCAAATTAGTAGATTTGAAACTAATATTAGACATTATTTTTTAAATTGTAATCACGAAAGTATGCTTTTCAATGTTAGACGTACACCATGAGAAATTTATTAACATTTTGGTCGCATGGACGATTTAAATATGTAGAAAATAATATATATGTTAAAATGAAGAAAGAAAATATTCAAGTTGATCGATAGTAAGAACAAACATTGTTAGAGATCTACCAAAAGAAGAATTTACCAGTTGTATTCTTGCAAAATCTTATATATCCATGACCAGAATAACAGCGTAATCTATCGATGTTGTACAATGAGTGAGAGGAGTGCACTGTATTGCCTATAAATATACGTCATGAAATAAATTTAGCTTTTGGACGTACATGCCTATACGTCAATTCATTATGCATATGGTATTAGTCATATAATAGTTTTGTTCTGTAGGAATATTTCTGTCTATCTGTTTATTCTCTCCCTTATCATTCGAATAGATTGATCATCACGGATGAATAGTCAGTAGAATGTGTGATAGAATATGCGGTATATTACTCATTCACCTTCTCTTCTGTACTCGTCGGACAAGGCCGACAAATATACATGAGTGAAGCAGTTGTTTTTCACAGCGGCGCCGAGACCGGTTCGTGACTCAGTTTCAAACCCAGTCTGACAGTCGATGAGTTTGTGTTGCTCGTCGATAACAAGAGATCGTGTCTTTTCATTTACGAACATAAAATCGAAGTTCGAACACTATTAAATTGAATTTTCATTAAAATTATAAAACAATCTTATGTCGCAAATTTTCGTTGTTTAAATTGTTAAAAATTTACTTCTATCAGTTTTAAGCAAACTTATTTTATGTTGTAAATTATTTCTGCAAAATTAACAAGAAATTTCAAACTTCCGTTTTCTAAAGTTTTTTACGAAATTTACTAATAAAAATTTTAATGAAATCTGCTTTCAGCTTTACTGTTAGCTAGTTGCAATTTATAGAGTTCGCTAAATATAATTGTTACTATGAATGCCATGAGCGTTTTTTGGAACTTGAATACACTATATAATGATCATTCTAGCATGAAATTAAACATCGAATGAACATAAACTAGTCGAGGTGTAAGAGCATTTATATACAAAAATCTGTATTGAACAAAAACTTAGGTCATCAACAAATTGCAGTAACTTTTCATTAATTTTTTACAATAATTTATTTTTTATATATGCTCTTATTGATCAAGTCTTTAAAAATTAAATATCAAATACAATCATTTAATTCAAAACTAATAAAGTTGTCAGCTTTAAATCAACTAAAATATGTATGATGAATACTTAGTCGATATTTCACTTAACATCTTAGTTTACAAAAAGAAAGCAGAAAACATTAGTTTGACATTTCAAAAATCAGTAATATCATAGCTACACAATGAGCCAAAAATGTAAAGTATTACTATTTAGCGTTATTAAATTATAAGATTATTAATGAAATAACTCGACATTTTAATATTGTCAAAGTTCTTATTTTCTCATTTTAAGACTATCCATAAAGGATGTTCAGGCACACATCGAATTTGTGACCCTCTTCTTTCTTCTATCTATCCAGATTTGTCCAGTTTCATCAAAACTCTTGCCTCCTTCTAAACGTCAAATATTAGAAAACAAAACTTTCTAAAAAGAGCTTGCTTGCTCCAATATACCGCTTCCTATTGCAAAATTTTTGTTTCTTAAATACATTCGGTTTTAATTAGCAGAAAATAGCGAAACCAAAAACAAACGAATTCCACCACGAGTAACACTCAAAAATCTACCAAAAAAATAATTTCAATCAGAAAGGAGCAGCTGAAGAGGTTCCCTCATATCAGTTATCTAACAAAATGGCTGGATTCTTAGTCAAATTGGCTTGTTTTTTTTTCTCATGGTACATGAAAAGATAGAATAAAGCAAGACGAGTAACTTTTCCTTCAATACCAATATTTGAAAGTTTACTGGCAAAAGTCGGTGAGGTTTCCAAATTCATTCTGAACAAGACTTGCTCGATTGATTCAAGGTATCCTAGACTGGTTTTTAAAAGAATAAAAAAAGTGCAGTAAGTGTCAGTATTTCAAGAGTTAAACTACCTTAGCTTCACCGGTTAATGAGAACTTTTCAGGTACTATAGAAGAAATGTTAGGCTATTGAATGCTGTATTTTTTATTTGGTTGAAGTTACCAATAATGAGTAAGAAGTTGACAAAATGAGATTCTATTCCTTTTTCGTTAGAGTAATCCGAATCAACCCAACTGAATATATAAAGCAAGTCTTTAACACATGGGCAGATAAAGTTCTTTTAGGACACAATTGCGACTTTAAACTTCTTAACCCAACATTGAAACAGTTATTTAGTTATCGTGATGTTTAAGATATAACACCATAGTTGAAGTGAATCCATTATCAGTTTATAAAAAAATGATCTAATCATTAATTGACAGTATGATGTAAGATTTGTGATTTATTCATGAACAATAAAAATTGACTTTTTTTCACAGAAGTTTAAATCGATTGAAAAAAGAAAATATCGGACGTCGAATAAATTTTTCAAAAATTTCCAGTTTTACTGCTACGTTTTATTATTGATTGATTCTAGAACGAGTTTTCAAATTTTTAATAGTAAACAAAAAAAGTAATTACGCAAAAATACAGAAAATTTTTTATTACTATTTGGTTTCTGATAATTTAGATCAAATATCATCATATATAATATTTATAAACAATTTTATTTAAAATCTGAAAATTTTTGTGCAATAATCTCACTAATGAAAATACTTTTTTTACTCAACAAACGATAGATTATTTTTTAACTAGAATATTGTTACGGAAGAAATATTAAATTATGCAACAATAACTATTTTTATTAAATATCAACAAATGTTATTCAAATTTTTCCTTATGTCGTTAGAAATATAAAGATTCCGGACATAAGTTCTTTTCAATAATTTAACAATGTATCGGCACATGCCAAAAGATCTCTTTTTGGATGAAATTCTTGCGAAAAATTCAAGATTATTATTTATCGGAAGAAATGTGTGCAAAAAAACTCTATATTGCAAACACATTGAGATACTCACTGCTTGTTTTTTTTTTTCTTTCTTTTTCTTCCAACGTGAAAGGTATAGCATTGAAAATTCAACGCATGCAGAACATTTGATATTTTTAACGCATGATTGCGTGCAGTTACGTATTTCGATACTTTAACATCAAGCGAACTAAGTCATGTTCTATTTTACTTCGACTTTTTTAAAGCTCATCATTTTATATAGGTAAAGTTACTACGTAGTATCTTCATTTACTTCTTGTTCAATTTCACTCTCTAACTTGTTTTAACGTTCTAATAAGTTACTTGTGATCCTCGAATTGATACAGCTGTTTGCAAAAAGACCACAAAATGTACTATATTGTAATATAATTTAAAATTTTATTCATTCATCGTCGAAAGAAATAAAAACAACCCTTACTCTTTCATAGACAACGTTCAATTTCCTATGACATTAATATCAATATTTTTATACACTTTCGAGTGAATTACAAGTTTCTGATACGATTGAGATTTTGACTGTATTTAGTTAATAACTTCTATTTCTCTCGATCGAGTTGAAACAATGCTTTTATATGCTATTCTTCTTTGGTTGTCGCACTACCACACAAAATCTCAGCTAATATTGTCACTAAGTTATTAGCGATATATAAAAAAGATGTCATTTTTTGCTTATATGTACAAAGAAAAAGAAATTTTTCGAGCATGAAAAAGTGAGAGAAAAATGATGTAATTTGTTCATTTTATACAATGTTTGACGTTCTATCAAAATATATATAATCAACTAAAATTTCATTTCTTATCCGTTTCATCGTCCGACGCCTACAACGTTTGATAGACACAAACTTAATTCTAGTTCTGCCTGCGATAGACATGCGGATGCGTAGATTATATAAAAAGAAAGAAAAATTTTTCAAACTGATGGAAAGCAGTTATCTCTTAACAGTTTTGCTACGGACAAAAGACAATAGAACTTCTTGAAAGAAAAAAAATTATACTCACTTTGTAGAGTGACAGTTTTTCAGTTGATATTTCCAGTGAAACTCATTGGAGAACACTCTTTTCGACTACAATTTAAATGAACAGAATACGGCAAGCAAAATCAAGTTTATTGTGACTTTTTGCTGTCAATATAGAGTAAAAAGTTCACTCGAATCTCTCTTCAATCAGTATAACTAATTTTATGATTGGATTATACACAAATAAAAATGTACAATGTGTATTTTTCATAATATTGAATGAAGTGCGACACGATTTTGCTGCTTAACACAGATATCGATTAAAATAAAGTATACTATGGAGAAATTGTTTAGGCCGACTTCCAATTTTTCATGCTAACCGTGCGAAAAAGTTATAAATGCTAGTTGTCGCAAAATTTCAATGAAAAAAACGGAATTGATAGTTGAAGAATTTCATGTCTTTTTGAATTGTCTTCATGTTTTCATTTGTTTCTTTAAGCATTTTTTGATTATTACGATGAATATATTGATTAATAATTCTTTTTTTCTTTGATAGTGAGTGCATATCATCGATCACTTCTTTTCCATTTATAACGCTAGTTTATTTTACGACTTCTCTTTAACAATCTCATGCGCATAGATGACAATTATTGTAAAGAGAAGTGTATGATATATCTAAAAATTTTATATACTCGAGACAGAAGTAACCGTACTGTCATTCTATGATTTCTTCGTCTAGTCAACTATGAACAATTACCGAAAAAACTAAGCTTATAATTATTTCATAAAACACCAAACAAAAAGATTCTTACATGAGTGCAAATAGCTTTATTCAATCCGAGTTGGAATATGAATGAGGTTCACAAATTTAGACAATGAAATTCAATAATTTACCAGTATCATATGTTAGTGTGAAGTTTTCGGTTCAGTTTATTATGTATCTTTATCTGCTCTCGCTTCTTGTTTGAGTCGATTGTTCATACATGACATTTTAACCTTCTTGTGTCATTTTTTCTGCTTTGTCCTTTCCTTGACTCTTTCTCTTCATTTTTCGGTCTCTTTTCTTTTTTCTTCTTTATTCGAATTGTGCTTATCAACGTGTACTTTGTACGTAATCGAGACGATTTTATGATATGAAAAAAACAGAATAAAGCATAATCGTACTCATACTAACATTTCTTTTATCAGAAATATGTCATTGTTAGGTCGCATCGCATTCAATTAATGTTACTTCTTGCTTTAGGTTCGACCCAACAAGATAGATCAAACCGAAATCATTGAAATTTAATAATCTAATGTAGATGAAAAACTCTGAGACTAATTTGAATACTAGAATTCAATGCCTAGTCGAATTCAAATTATTCTGTGATATTTCCTTTATAAATCAATGCATTGTGAAGGTTCTAACAGTGTCTTATTGGATCACTGGGACATGCAAGAGAGTATAAGTCCAATTCAACTTTGATCCTTTTTGATTTCGTCTTTCTTTCATGTCTAGTACAAGTCTGCAATGTCGATACAATATTTTTGGCAAGTATTTCGATATTTGAATGTACCGTCAAAGTTACAAACCTTCGTATATCTACGTATGCATCAGTGGAAAACTCATGTATAATTTATTTTTAGATTGAGTATTGTAGTCTCATGCAATATGAAATATGGCGATTTTGGATGGCTTCTCTAAACTGTTAAATATATTCTTATGTCAACGGCGACGAATGCAGCAACAAAGCTTGTACGTATGTTGATCTGAAAAGGCTTATGATCGAATCGTTATTCTCAAATTTTTATCGATCTCCCTCTTTATATACATATGTTTGGAATATTCTTTAAACATTACTCACATTACCACTTATTTATTCTATATAATATCTTTTTGAGCTCTTTTAAGTGTTATCACCAATTTTCTTCATTAAATGACTTAAGTCAAACTTTTTATTTCAATTTTAAATCTTATATGTTCTTATGAATTATTCACATAAAATCTCTATTTTGATATTCTTTTGTCTACAGTAAGGTATCAATACAAATTATTAACTCATTATTTTTCAATAGTACTCTCAGAAATTAGAATTATTGAATTTTCTAATTTTCATTATAATCATTACGATCTTATATAATTTGATATTTGATCTCCACATTGTGTCGTTTGAAATAGACTTAATGGTGCAATTTTTTCAATGTGCTTCATAGCCACTGCTGCCAACCGTATGCTAGTGTTTTATTGTTATGGTAATGGAATACACTTCTCTCTCGGCACACTCTTCTGGATATGGTTAACTATCACTCCTGATCTTCTCGTTTTACTTATTCTGTATATTTTATTGTTTTGTATTGGATGGAACTATCCTCAACTTAATCAATATGGTATTGTGTTTGGCCTATGTTTTGCTGCATTTATTCTCCTTACTTCGTCCTGTAATATTCTCATGCTAAGAGTAACAGGTAGGCTTTCTTCTTGGAACCTAAATTTCATCTAATATTAATGTTTTCATCTAAATTATCGCTTCTGAAAAAGAAACATTTTGATACATTTGAAGTAGCAAGTAGAGTTTTATTCTAAGAATAATCAAATAATTCTAAATGGATATCTGTTCCTGTTTCTCGATACTGGAGAATTTGAAACAAGACTTATTAAGAAGCACATGTTATTTTTTAACAATAAGCATTCTCTAGCTGATAAAATAAATTAGAAATTTTCAACAAATGGAATGTATCCTAATTAAAGAATATTCTAACTTGTTGTTACCATAACAATCATTACCCAAAAAAATGGTCATGCCTTATCTTTACATAAAGGTCTAGTAGACGTTGCCTCATTTTTTACTATATAATTGTCAATGTAAGTGTATTCATACGTAATGAAATATTGACACTTCCAGATAACTGACTAAATGTAAAGTTAATATATTAATAAGCTCTATGTAATAATTTAAGCAACTACATCGGCACCCTCACAGATATTTATACATAGAATTAAACCGAACAATTCAAGTTGAACATCCGTTTGTTAAGTTTTTTTTTCTGTGAGAGAAAGTCTGTTTTTAGAAGAGAATCGAATAAAATCCAAAGCCAAGCAATAACATAGTCGGATTCTTTTCAATTTCAATGAAGTCTTTCAAGGTTTAATCAGACTGCACGACAGATTCAATCCACACGGAAATAAATCCATCGGTTAGTTCTTTGCGACAATATTCAATGATTTGGGTCTATTTTCCCTTATATTAGGAAATAATGACAATTTGGACTGTTACACAAGCGTTTTTAAAATCTCTTTTTAAACTATGAAACATATTGTATTCTAATGCAACTTGACGAAGTTTATCTAACCATCAAAACAGTAGAAGAAAAATTTCTGCTGAAATTTTGGATTATGACCATCCTACATACGCTGGGAGTACCTCGAAACTTGAATATCTGAGTGAGTGCATGACAACAGCAGTCTATATGTTAAATTTGTTAGTTTGGTGGTGAGAGCTCAATTTGACTCGAATGTATCTAATCTCCTTAACTGAGAACAGAAACACCTCCATGATAAGATCAAAAACAAGTATCACGTTTTCAAAATTGCATAATAGAGGTTTTAATTAGTTATTTTCATTAATTTAAACTTTTAGAAACGTTCATTCTATCGATAAAAAAATTCCATAGTTAAGTTACAAGTTTATCTAATGATTTAAACATCATTTTGAAATCTTTTCAAGAAAAGTAGTTAGTCTTTTTTTTAATCATATTTTTCGAGGAATTGATAACATGGACTAAATGATCTTATCTAAAAATACAACAGGTCGAAATATGGAATGGAATATCATCTTCGAGGTGGACATAGCAACGACATATAGTTTGTATTTATCACAAATATCCTCGTTTCTATCACTTTTGGTCGTATACTTTCTCCTCGGTAGTATCTTTTGGTTCATTGTGTGTCGTTACATTCAGACGCATAAAGCTTTACGATTTGGCTATTTCAAAACTGTAAAAATACTCGCTTCATGTCTCATTCTTACGTATATGCTGGTGGTTGTCTTCTATCATCTACCAGAACCATATACAAATCTATCGTCAAACATGGTATTGTCATATTTTCCTAAAGTAGTTTCGCATTATTGGAGCACTAAGCCATTAATACGATTTCGTATGAACGAAACTGCGTTCAATAATGTAACTCAAATGTTTCGTGCACCAGTCGTTGATATTTCTCGTCCTTTGGTCACTTTGAAAGAGCCGATTAAACATGTCTTCGTCATTATTTTAGAATCAATTCGTGCTGATACTTTACCATTAAACAGAAATCTGGCCAAAGCTGTAAAATCTACTTTCACATCTGATGCAACTGCTACCAAGGTGACACCACTTCTCAATTCACTTTGGACAAATTCTGTTCGTACAGTTGCATCAGTTACATCATCGTATACATTAAAAAGTCTTGTCAGTATTTTTTGTGGTATCTATCCTCTAAATGTTAATTTTCTCAAAGAAGCAAATGCGGAGAATTTCTTATATGAAAAATGTTTACCTGAATTACTTCGTGAAACTTTTCGAACGACAAACAATCAATCAGCCTTTCGTTCAGCATTTTTCACGGCAGCTCGTGATGATTTCGATCATCAGCGTGATTTATTTAACAAACTTAAATTTGATACCACTATTAATGGTTTCAATATTTATGAACAAGTAGGCAATGTTCCCGATCTTGGAATGTTTGGTCCTGCTGATCCATATATCTTACCTCTAATGTGGAAATGGATTGATAATAATTTGGCAGACAAAGAAACAAATCATATGATGATGAGCTTACTAGTTACAGGAACACATGAACCTTTTCCAATACCAACTGATTGGCCAGCTGATGACTATCGCATTTATATTGATGATCCATCCGTTAATAGTTATCTGAATACCTTGCATGCAACTGATGACTTTTTGAAAGAAATCATCGATGGTTTCAAATTACGCAAATTGTATAATGAAACACTTTTCGTTATAACGAGTGATCATGGATATGTATTTCATGATTATGAGAGAGAGATGCTCGGATTACTGAGTACTCCTCTGGAATGCGCATTTTCAGTTCCTTTGATGTTATACAATCCACATCTTGAAGCTAAACAGCTTCATGGTCAATTTACTAATATGGATGTATTACCAACTATTATGGATATATTGTTATCGTCGATAAGACCTACTCATCAATCAACGAATCAACTATTATCAGTACCATGTGACCAAGTACAATCGATATTATCTCGATATGAAGGAACATCAATTCTACGAATGCCAGTTGAGAAACAACCTGTTCGATATACATTTCATTTGGCAAATCCTGGTAATTCTTATATTATTGTTAAAGAATATCCAAAAAAACTTACGTATGATGTTGCAAACGATGAAGTTCATTTGTATCATCTTGCACATGATCCCTTTGAATTAGTTGATTTAATCAGTCTCAATTCTGAAATCACAGCTTCACATCCACCATGGGTCAATGTAATGTATGACACACATTCGATGCAAACATGGAAAGGGCGTTGGACCAATGATTACCCGAACATTACAACTCATTATGAACTTTTATTGAAAAATAAAAGCTTTTTACCGTTATCAACATCGGATGATATGAACAATAGCAAAGTGCAGTTGAAAGATATGTTAGATTGGGCAGATCAGACTTTGGACTTGGCTCGTTTTTGGAAAAATCTTGTGAAACAGCGGTACCATTATGAAAGTGAAATATCCAATTATAATATAACTTAGAAAAATTATTAAGATTATCCTAGTTTTGATAATTAAAGCAGTAAACATTGGTTTCTTTCATAAAACTTTGAATAAAATTCATGAATGAAAAATTATTTTGATTTACAAAGAAACAGTTTTATCCTTATGATATCAGACTTGTAAAAAAAAGGGTATGATTAAAAATTAGAGAGACATAAACTATTGCAATCATCATGCAAACGAAAAATATGTCACATCTGTCACATTTTGAAACACAGTTGCCATGATTTGAACTGTTTTTCATGAGATAAAGAATGATGACTACTTTAGAGCTCAAGCCGATTTCATCACATTCTTATCGTTTACTGCCATTTCTTGAGCACTAGACAATCATATATCTTATTATCCAATCATCTTGAATTAATTTAAATCCAATCGAATCGTTTCTATGAGCAGGCTGGAAGTAAAGTGAATAAAAAAAAGTATCCTAAGCAGAAATGTACACCGTCCTCACAAAGACGGCCGCTTTTTAATTATATCAGCTGTTTAATGACTGTTAGAAATTTTCCAAGTATAATGTATATGTAACATTCAAAAAAAATTTTCATGAAAGTCAAAAAAACTTTAGATGATTGTTGTCTGGTTTTTTAAGCGCGGATAGGTTATACTACAATCAAGATGCAGTCTGTTTCAGTTTAGTTGTATATTATTTTTTTGATTGTTGAGTAGAAAATTGTTACGACGCTTTTCGGTTTTGAAGAATGTTTGATTAGATAAATAGCTGTGTCTATAATAAGACCTTATTGCTCATAAGTAGCATTTATCATTATATCTTAAAAAATCACGAAATGATCACAATATACATTGTATTTTGCTGCCATATACTAGGCTTCATTGAATAGTTTACTTAGAGATCATAAAAGCAGTTTTCATACGACATTCATGAATGCAATGGAAAGTTTGCATGAAATTTTCGCAATGCTTCTGAAGATATCAAAAATCGGATATCGCATCGAATCATATTAGAAACAAGCATGCTCGGTTATATATAAAGTAAAATAAGAAAAATTGACTGCTATTCATCGAAGTATATCTGCACTTGGCTCAGTGTCCATAATTTAAACACAATTTAATCACATATGTAGTACTAAAGTACGATACGACGAGTAAAGTAAAAAAAACTTCATGGAATGTAGATGACAGAATGTATGCATAGAAAAGTATCGAGAAACTAATTATAGTTTAGGATACTTGCAAATGTAATTCTAGACTAAAAAACTAATTGAAATTTTTCTTGAACGAGGGAAGAGAGCAAGGTATTATTTAAGGCTATGTGTTCTCTCCACTTGTGAATAAAAATGTTTATCTTATTCATGCGTTGCTATTTTCATAACTAGACTTGACAATCAGTGTGATATTTTTGATATAAACGATTCATGTGAAACAAACTCTGTACAGCATATGCTTGAATTCATTATCAAGAAAAACTTGAAAGATGTCAATGGTATCTCAATTATACATTAAAAAAAGACATCAAGAGTAATTTGGTCATGTCATGCGAATAATTTTCTTATTTTTAAAATATTCATCTCATCGTGATTGCTACTACAGTTATAAAGCAAAATAAATTATTTTACTTGTTGCACATCGAATAATGGAAACAAACATGACAAGCACTGTATCTATGATAGAAGCATCGCACAGTCGAACCTACATACAAAAAATTACTTTTGGAGTTCTACAAACATGCCAGATAGTATCTTTTATTGCTTACTTAATTCTTGGTTACTACTTTTTTTCTTCTCGAAAAGATTTAAAAAAAACACTTAGTTTTCATGGTATTTTTATTATACTTATAATAAATTTTATTCAGCTAACTTATGACTTCTCACTAATTCTTCAACATTTGTCTACAGGCATTGTTCGTCCATCAACTTATGCAAATTGTATCATTTGGACATTTATCGACTCAATTACGTATTATTCAAGTCTACTTCTCATGAGTTTGGTAGCGTTTGAACGACATTTACTTATTTTTTATCCAAATTTATTTAATACAAAAAGAGGTCAATTTTTGTTTCATTATCTACCAATGATTATTATCTGTCTGTATGTATTATTTTACTATTTTGCTGTTGATTTTCTATTTTCTTGTGTCAACACATTCGATTATTCATTGATTATGTGTGGTTTTATTTGTTACATGAATTTGCCCATACCTAGTATCTATTCTATTGAACTGATTGTCCATCAAGTTATTCCAACGGTACTAATTGCTCTTTTCAGCATAGTACTAATCGTACGAGTTCTACAAGCTCGTAATCGACTACGTCAATCCATTGAATGGCAAAAATATCGTAAGATGATCATACAACTTCTAAGCATTTCCATTGTGTATTTGGTTTTTAGTACACCATTTTCATTGAACCCTATTGCACAGACTGTGGGACTGCCCATGCCATTTTCATATGATTTTTATGCAAATGTTTTCACTTACTGGGCATACGGAATCGCGATTTCTTTGCCTCTCATTATTTGTTTCTCATTGCCAAATTTGACAAAAAAACTGAAACTGCTGTTTACCATTCGCAACTTACAACGAGTGGGGTCAATGACATAGAATACTTCACTGATTCGAACGATCCTGAAAAATTACATAAAACAAACACCAAGAATTGAATTTACTTTTAAAAACTATTTAAATGCATTTTTATTGTAGAGACAATAAATTTTCACTTCATCTTATTTTTATACTTTTCATTATGTACAGAGATCCAACACAAAGACCAATAAATGTCTAGAAGAAGGGTGTGTGTGGGTGTGGGTGTGGATGTGGTGGGTGTGTGGTTGTATGTTGTGGATGTGGGTGGATGTGTGGTTGTATGTTGTGGGTGTGGGTGGAGGTGGAGGTATATGGGTGCGGGTGTGGGTCTGGGTATGGGTGGGCGTGGGGGTGTGGGTGTGGGTATGGGTGGGCGTGTGGGTGTGGGTGTGGGTATGGGTGGACGTGTGGGGGTGGATGTGGGTGGGTGTATAGGTGTGGGGGTGGGGATTGGAGTGTGGGGGTGTGGCTGTACTTCGCTCATTTACATCCACACCCCAGCCCAAAAGAAAACAATGTAGCACGTTTATGTGTTGCTGATTGTTGATTAACATCAAATAACAGATACTTGTAAACTTCTCATTAGCATTTCGTTGTTTAATACCACTCTATGTGCTTGAAGCTCCACAAATACAGAAAAACTCACAAGTAGTGCATGCTTTCATTTATGTGTAAATATTCTTAATGGTAAAATTTTCGCTTGCATACTCCATTATGAGTCTAGATCGTTTTTTCTTGTGCAAGGATTCCGATGTGAACATATTTAATCAGTGTCGTCGAATTTTGAGCGTACATTTTGTGCTTCTTATGAAACGAAGTAAGCAATTTTTTGATAACATGCATCGATCGATCAGGTGAAAACAAAAAAAGTCAGTTTTGATCGATGAAAATGATTCGTTGTGCTTCATTCTGCATTTCTCTCCCATTTGTGAGCGTTAAAACTTGCAGGGAAAGTATTCTGTAATTTCTTATTAATAGTAATAGTAGAGGTAGAAATCAATATTCATTCATAAATGATCAACAACAATCAGGTAGTCGAACAAGAAATCTGATTATATGCGTTATTTGAATTTCCAGACATCCCTGTAGTTTCCTGCTTATCAAGATATATGAGGTATAGAAGGTATAACGAGATATCGGAGGTATAAGAAGGTATAAGAATTGATTTTTTCGAGAAAGGGTTGGCAAATGGAATCAATATATTTTATGAATACATGCTTTAATCAAATACTATTGAATGATTATCTGTACCAATTAATCAATATCTCCTATACTTCCTCATACCTTCTATACCTGCTTATACCTCCTATACCTCCTCTATAGCCATCAACAGAGAATGATACAAGCCTCTGGAAATTCAAATAAGGCATCCTACGTGATGCAGAGCCAAATTCATATCACTATGTGTCCCCAGAAGAGATGCATTACATCGACGAGTTCTATGCTTATCAACACGTTGACCGGCTTGTCAATGATGCGAGCTGGCTAGAGCTAACAGCTTTTATACGGCAATTTATCGCAAGCCATTATCACCTGCTTCGAGTAAAGAATAAGGAATGCAAATTACCCACCGTCCAATAGAAAAACAAATGAAGTATATCGGCGATAATTGCCAAAAAACAGTACTGCTATGGCGAAGAATGCAAAGATAAAAATGATATTATCGAGGGAAAATAGATTATAATCGTCTTGCTTACTGTCTTTTTTTCACCAGTGACATATAAAACCATGCCTTTACGATATTAGTCAAAACGCCATATTGTTTCGCTTTTTTTTGAGTGCTTCTGTATTTGTTGAGAGCTCGATATGGTTACGTAAGAAAGAAGACAAGTCACTACTCATGAGAACTACAGACATGCTAGTTTCTTCGACGCTGATCATAGACTATAACACAAAAAAAGCGATATTTTAAAATCCTATTGATAGACATTTGGTATTTTTTGACTGATTCTCATCGTATAATTCAATAAAATATTACATTTATTTTTAGATTTATGCGTCTCCGGTTTTTCATATTCAGTTGTCTATCCAGTCGTATTTGCTCTCCTCATCAGCTCCGATAATGAATTCTCTTCATGGCTCATCTATGTTGATCCCATTCAACAGTGAATCTTTCGGTCAGCTGTGTCATCATTGTGATTCTTCGCCTTCGCCTTTTAACTTGTCCATCTCGTGTAAAGTGACTTGATCGAAGAAAAATTTACAACCATCGCGATGATTGTTACAACTGATTAAAAAAACCCGCAATCAGTCAATTTTTTTCTCAGTAGTACCCTGTGTTCCATATTTACTCTCGTTATGCTCCGACTGAATAATCCATCCAATAGGTAATGTTTTGAGCAGATGTTAACACATGTGAATTGAACTGACCATCTTTTCCGAATACGCTAACGGTTCACTTTCTTTACAATTCATTCTTGTTGTGTTCACTCAAGAT